AAATGTCAACAATCTACGTGTAATTATTATTTAGCGAGATGAACAAAAAACCGGGCGACTAGCCGACAGGACACCGAGCAGAAAAAAAACACTGATTCGACCTACGAGTTAGAGTAGCGAGGAGAAGAAGTTTCAGTGGACAGTCTGAGTCTTAACGAGTCTTCTGTATGACTCCCTTACCGCTCTCGTCTGTCTACACCACTCTTAATACGTTGGGTCACCAACCCCCCCGTTGGAACACCGCCCTTACTGTCGTGTGTGTGGTGTGTTGTGTGTGTGGTGTGTGTGGTGTGTCGTGTGTGTGTGTGTGTGTGTGTGTGTGTGTGTGTGTGTGTGTGTGTGTGTGTGTGTGTAGTGTTGTGTGTGTGTGTTGTGCGCTGCGTGTGCGCATGTGCATGTGCATGTGTCCTGGCTATAGGACCCATACATTACATTTACACATCCCACATGTCCCCAACAAAGTAACTTTTACACAAGCTATATTACATAAGAAGGTTTCTTTCACTCGTTGCCCGGTACTCACACTCAAACTTTTTTATCGAAATAGTATATTACCAGTTTCAACAATGCTCACTCCCCGTCCAACTTTCATTAACCATATATGCTGCTTATATTTATTGTTATTGGGATGAAGTAAACATCTGTTGAGTATTTTAACATAAAATAGTTTGATTGTGTTGAATTGAAGCCCAGAAAGGCAGCTGTTACAGATATGGGCATCTGTTAATGCCTGTTATATAGTGACGCCTGTTGGCGCTTTAGTAAACGGAAGGCTGACACAGGCTTACACTGTGATGTACTATGTCCGCAAGCGCGGGAATATACATGTGATGGAGTTGTGAGTTACTGAAATAAAGCTGCAGACTGAAACATGGTGTCAGAAGCGGTCTTCTTGGACTAAAAGCTCAAGAAAAACTCACGTTATGACGACAAACAGTATTCTGGCACCCGAGGGCATGCATATGTCTGGTGATATAGCCAAAAACTGGGAGATTTTTAGAGCAGAATTTGAGGACTTCTTGCTCGCTTCAGGTCTGACCGAAAAGACGAATGCGGTGCAGGCAGCCACGTTGAGACGGTTTTTGGGGAACGAGTACACACTGACAGAGGAACAAAAAAAAGTGTTCCAGGGAACTCACCAATTGTCAGAAAACACAACCCTCTCTATTTTCCTCCATACCCAAATCTCTTAAAAAGGGGCTGCAACAAGGGCACCGACAGGAGGAGGACTGAACCACCCTCTAACCGGGTTATCCGGCAACGCGCGGTGAAGACACTCGCAGTGTCTTCACAAGTTTTTAGACCTAGTCAGACA